CGAACGAATTAATTTTCCGAGCTCTCCCAAACCCCAGACTGTTGCCCTTCAATGACCTGAGTATCTGACAGCTCCTAGCATTTTTTATTGTAGCCTAGGACAGTCTAGAAACCCTGGCATCAATTCAATTCAGACAAGGCAAAATGCAATGTGGCATCATTTGAAATTTTCTGTGGGATCGATTCTGTGGAAACTAAAGGAATGATTGCACTGATTGAGCGACTGAAGCATCTTTTAGATCAGTCAACATGAAGTATCACATTCTTTGCAAAATACGTTTGGAGTTTTTTAACTTCCCATTAAGTAAATTGTGCTTATACATATCAAAAATTGTTTAACAAAGTCGTCAAGTCTTAAGTCAGAATTTTTTTTCAGTCTTCAATCTTCGAAGTTCGATAATTTACTTTTATTCGACGCTTTATTATTAAATAATCTTTTCGCTTCCAATTCAAGGTTTTTTATGCTTATTGTTTTTTCAATAGCTTTTATCGGTTTCAAAAATATCACCTGCATGAAATCCTACAGTCGATTTGATTACTTCACATTTACAGTGAAAACAATCATAAACAATTGGGGTATTTTTAAATTTAACTGAACGTTTAAAGACACAATTTTATCAAATTCTTTTGTTAAAATTGTTGTTCTATTGAAAACTCTTACAATCAATTATTAACAATTTCTTTTGCAAAAAAAAGTTATTGGTCTCTTGAAAACTCCCATAATGTAAAAAGGTTGAAATTGTGTAAATTTTTAACTTCTAACTCAAACAAGACTGGTTTTATCAGGGCGAAGCCCTGAATGTTCCGACTGCTTTTTGAGGTCTATGGAGCAGTAACAACATGAAAAAATTAAATGCAAAAAAATAGAACGAATTTTTTTAAGTTTGATATTTTTCGTGAAAATCATCCCCCCACACGCCATATAAAGTACAAAATAGATAGATTGTTTAAACACCCATTTCTTTACAAAAAATAATCACTGAAATTTTTTTTTCAAATTTACGCTCAGGACAACAATATCTTTTGTATGATATAATACAATTGGGTCAAAAATGGCTAATTAAAAAGTCGAAATTTGTCTGAAGAAAAAAAACCACCCCGAGTACAAATATTCCATTACTTTCGTTACGAAAGTCGGAACAAAAAGCTAGATTAGGAAAAAACAAACTAGATGTTCACAGGATATCAAAGAATTGAAAATGATTAACACGTCATCTAAACAAGAGCACTTTTAAAGAATCGAACAAAAATGCACATATATCAGGGCAAAGTCCTGAAGGTATTGACTGAATTCTGAGGCGACCTTTAACGAAGTTTGATAAAGCAATGGACCAAATACGCGAAAAATTTTTTTTTTCAAGTTCTTCCCTCAAACGCTAATGTAAATGACAAACGGATGTACTTTGCTTCTTGTGTCTTTTTAATACGACCAAATGATTGCCTCATTTCTATTTGAAACGCATTATTCTGCCCTTTATAAGTGTTACAATAATGTAAATTATCAAAAAATGGTCAAAATAGCCAAACACTTATATCCTTATAAAAAATTATCACAGCTAAAAGATTCTTTCGAATATTACCTCAAGGCAAACTTTTTTTTCAGATTACATAAGACAATTTGGTCAAAAATGCGTTTTTATTAATTCAAAGTTGAAAGAAAAAAATAAAAAAGCCACGCAGAAATTTTCCGCGCTTTTTTTGAAATGGTCTTATTTTTGAAACAAAAAAAACGTCATATAAAAAAACCTTCAAAAAAATCCTTCATTTTCAACCTGAAATTGCATCACCCTGATAAGACCAATCTTGTCTGTTTCGGTTAGAAGTCAACATGATTAGTTCATTTCTTTATCGACCGAGCAGCAGACCATTTTTTGAGTCGCGCAGAGTCGCAACATATGTTTTTTGGTCACACTCTGTTAAACTTTGACGTAACCACTACACACAGAAAAATCGATCTAGCCGTATAATTGATTGAAAATTTTATAACGCTTTAACAATTCTATGACAGGTTTTCTATAAATATAAGCAACGCTAGGACTTTGCCTTTTGAGAAAAAAAGATTCGAACAACATGTTCATTCATTTGATCCAATGTTACTAGAAAAGTCAAAAATTTAGAAAAAACGAGAACAAAATTAAGTCCAGAACTGTTTTTTAATTTAAAGTAGGGAGTAACTACTGTGCAGAGAGAATTCGTATGATCGACATGATTAAACCCTTAATCTCAGATTTAGTATTTTTGAAAAAGAAATTTAAAAAAAAACTTTCCAAAAAATGGTCAGAACTGATAACAAATCAATTTCTGCGAAATCAAAAAAATTGTACCTAGAAACATTGTGGCGTAGCTGCTTGAGCATGAACAGTTACCACAACATGTTACTTCGATTGAACCTCTATTCTCAGATTTGATAGAATATTTTTTGAGTCGCGCAGAGTCGCACCATAGATAGAATATTTTTTGAGTCGCCAGAGTCGCACCATTGTGGCGTAGCTGCTTGAGCATGAACAGTTACCACAACACGTTACTTCGATTGAACCTCTATTCTCAGATTTGATAGAATATTTTTCAAAAAACACAAAAAGTTTTCAAGTTGAAATTAAAGAATTTTTTTTCAGTATGTTGTTCTACTGCAATTAAGGAGACATCATTTATGCATGGATTTATCCATCAAACATTTCCGCTGATTAAGCCCTTAACCTGATTAATGGTAGACAAACTTTTATTAAATTTTAAAAATTTCAAAAAAAGGTCATAAATAAATACATTCGTTTTTTTTCTGAAGGCTAGTTTGTTTTGTACAACAAACAGGGCGTGTCAGTTTATGCGTTGGAGAGAGCTTCAGCCGGGTAATCGCTTGAAATGTTAATCTCAGAATTCGACTTCACCTTAAAATTTTTCTTTTTTTCTTTTAGAGTTAAGGTTTATCAGGAAAATTCTACAATCAGGTTCCTCGATTAAAAAATACGTTCAAACTTTCTCGACCTAGGAATTTACAGGAAAGTTTTCGAGAAAAAAAAACTGGGTCACATCTACACCCTCATTGTTATTTGAAAATGCAGTAGCAAGTGATTATACGTAAGAAAAAAATGGGCGAATATGCATGCACACATGTTAGTCGCCGGTCTTGCCATTAGTGCCACTGTTTTGAAAGTCGGGACAGTAGTTTTTGAAAAGAAAAAAAATTTCGAAAAATGAAAAAAATCCATACTGTTTTATGATAAAATTTTTATCAAACAGGGTAAAAAGTACGAAGTACAAGCATGTACTGTCTCGATAGACAACATGGCTCTTTTTCCTCCCCCCACCTCGCACCAGAATCAAATTTATGGCGTCATGAGTGATTGGCTCTTTTTCGTCCCCTCCACCTCACTTAACATCAAATATACCTGTTATAACCTAATCAACCCGCATGCAAATTTTTGTAATAATCGGACTTGTTGAGCAGAAAAATCATTTGTAAAACTTTGCATGTGGGGGAAATGAAAAAGAGCCGAGTGGTTTTACAAGAATAGTTATGAAGATCAAATAAATTTTTTGTCAAAGCCTACTAAGTCTGGTGTTAAATTTTCATAATAACTGGAGGCACTTTTACAGTTTCTCAACTCCCTCGTAATTTTTAAAAATAAAGCTGTTCAAAAATTGTTCACACGGCATTTTGCATGTAAGAAAGGTTGTGAAATTTTGTTCACTTGTTCACGTTGACACGTTTTATTGAATTTTATTTTAAATTTCCGAAAAAATCAAGGGCGGGGGACTGCAAAAGAGCCCAACTGGATAATGTGAACAGAAGTTATACTTGCAAATTTTTGTTGGTGGGGCAAAGAAAAATAGCTGACAAGATTTAAGAGTTTGCATCAATCGGGGGAAAATTGAAAAATGAGCCAAACATTTTTTCATACTTTCAATAGATTTAAGGTGCTTCTTTTGGTACCGCGACAACTCGCAGCCTAAGACAAAATTTTTAATAACATAAGAACTTCAGTGTAAGGTTGCTTCGCTGCGACATCCGGATCTAAATTTTGTATAAAATCCTGGCCTTTGTTGGTAAACTCGCAACACGTTGACGCGACTGCGGCGGTGAGTATATTGCGAGTTGTTTTTTTATTGCGAGCTGTCTTTTATAGCAAATTGTCTTTAGTTGCGAGTTTTCGCGCGCAATTTTTAATAAACAAAGCGCATCACGAAACTCGTTTTTAGGTCTACTGGGAAGAAACCGTACAAAAATCGTTGGATCATAGCTTGCAGGGCATCTTTTGGCTGTTTTTCCTTTTTTTCCTCTACCTCGCATGACATCAATATACCTGGCATCAATTTTTATGGTGTAACGTGTGGTTTACCAGCTTAAGTATCCAGATCAAATATGTTTGTCATGGCCTAATTAGAAAGCATGTCATTTTTCATAAGATAGGAGTAATGCAAGCTATTGATTAATTTGTCAAAACTTGTAAGTGCGGGGGGGGGGGGGGGGGGGTGGAGAGAAAAGGAGCCCATCTAATGCTAAATGGTACGGGCTTCAAGAGGATTTTGACTAAGATCAAGACAAATTCAAATTTAAATGAACCCAATTTGACATCAGTTTATATTGATGCACACGTGCAATCTGCCAATTAAGTCATATGCAAAACTTGCTCAAAGCAAAAATTACTCGTATAGTCAACTCGTAAAAGATAACAATTAAATCTAATCAAGGTCAATTCATAAGGTTCAATGAAGTCATTTGCCCATCGACAGAAATAAATATTGTACATATACGATACGCCTCTTTGTTTATAATTGGACTTTTTGAGATATATGTTGGTACCCACAAACTCAACACTGTTACCATAGTATTTTCTTGATAAATCAAACCTGCTTTGGATGATTTTGGTGAGCAATTGTTTGCGCAACTCTGATAAAAGCATCATAGAGTAGACGATCATTCTTTATAAGAACTAAAATGATTCAAGAGTCGCAACATTATCTTATTATTTCATTGATCTTCTACCCCACACCTTTTGTACCAACATACCATCAGAAGCTACATTGACAAAACTACGCGCCGGCAATTTGGTATCAGCTGATTATTTTCATTAGCTTATGGTCAACAATCATCAAACATTTGAAGACCTAGTTGACGAATTAATGTGCTGCTGCTGCGTAATCGGTCGCATATTCATTTCTACAAGTTTTTGCCTGTTTAAATGACCTGTCCTCATTAAACACTTGTTTTCTGATACATATTAACACAAATTTGTGTAAAATTTTACTTCTAATTTCAAACTTACAACTTATAAATTTATAACTTATAAACTTATAACTTATAATCGAATTTATGACATCTGTGGTTGACCAAATGGGAGACTCATGTCCCCAATCCAGTCCCCGAAAGAAATCGTCTTCTTCAGCCCCTCTTTCGGACACCTCCGAACAGGACTCCAAGGTATACACTACTCAGTACCGGACTCTAAATTGATTTCTAATAGAGACGCCACCACACTCCTTGTCAGTCTACCGCCCTCACGCCCCTAGAGAAAATACAAGAAAAAAATTGCTTGAAAATTGTTCATATACGGCAATTTGCTTGTAAATTTTTTTTAAAAATTGGTTCAATTGCGCGCACTGACAATTTAAAACATCAGACAATAGCTCCCCCACCTGTCAGATTTTTTTCAAATTGTCCGATTGTAATGAAATTGACATGCAGACTAATTATCAAAGGGTGGAATAACTTGGAACCTGATCTAAACTATATTTTATGATTGGATAAATTAAATGTTTTACCAATGTAAAGTATTTAATATTAACCAATCACGATCCATCTAACTAACAACCCACTTATTTGTAAGTGCTGAAGTTACTTGTAATTTCAGCACCAGAGAGATTTGAATTTAACTTAGAAATTAGTTGGACTCTCCCGAGCACTTCAGCAGCCGCAATAAACCAGTATACCCTAGATCTATTGAGCCTAGCAGAGACTAGTTAAACAACCTGAGACTAGATAGTATAAGAGTAAGATTAGGATCGGTATTAGACTAAGAAGTTGCACGAATCTATCCGGCCGAAAATAAGATAGCGTGACGAGCAGACGGTGTACCCTATCCGAAATTACTCTATGAGTTAACCACATCGGTCCTAACTCATCTGGTGCGACCATAAGTCTCGAACAAGACCTTAATAGCTTAGAATTAACCAAAATAGATTAGAAATTAGACAAAACATTTACAAAATGTTATACGACAATAATTTAATCGAAATGTCTCTACGACTCAATAGATCAGAGCCAATATTCCGAACCATAACAGAACTACCCGGAATTGGAAGAAGACCTCGAACCAGAGACGACATACGACAAAGTAGAAATTTGCCATATAGCTATATGATAGTTAGGCAAAAACCAGAACAAACTTTTATATTTAGAATACTACTGGCAATGAATTTAGATTTTCATTTGCAAACATAAAACCTTGAAGTTAATCTTCAAAATCATTTCAGGCGCTAAACAAAATTATTAATATACAATAACGATTGATAAAAAGATCTAAGATCGTTTTCCTAAAATTCTGCAGTAATATACAAAATATGTTTGAAAAATATTTATTGAAAAATAAAAAATAAAAATTAGTAGCATGACAATAAATGGTTAGTAATCATAAATCATCCTGTTGTTCCAGCTCCATCACCTAAAACATAACAGCAATCATAAACCCACTAATATCATCAAAACACTAAATCTTTCCTTTACACACATTTAAAATTTTATTAAAACTTAAATTCACTTAATTTTAAAACCAGATCATCAAGGCTTATCCTTGGATCTTAAATCATTTTCTACTTAATTAAATTTCAAATTTGATCATCAAGGCTTATCCTTGGATCAAACAGAACAACTTTGTTCTCCCCCACCCACTTAATTAGTGTCTAACGACCTCAAACGTCGATTCACTACCCAACCCTTTCTAAAGACCCAAGACTAATAGAAATTTTTAAACAAAACTAATCATTCAAATTAGGATAAACAGTGAAGAACTTCGGTTATTCATCCTTCACTTGACCCCCCCCTCTTACCAGACCCAGGATAAATCTTAGACTTAGTAAGTTTAAAATAGTATCTAACGAACTACTCGCGTTCTAATTATACCTGAACCTTGTGGATCGATTTACTATTCTCCAACCCTTGAACACAATCACTACCCCTAAGTAAGATTAAGTAAGTTAACACCTTAACTTATACTAGCCACGAGAAAGTAAAAAATCATTCTTCGGAATCGATATACTTTTCTCTCCAACCCTGAACAAATAGACCCAGGTTAAGCTAACCAAAAAATCGTAAGAACTAACAGTTTAGGAAAATAGAAATCATTTAACAACCTTTTGCATCCGTCATCCTAAACCTTATGTCATTTAAAAACCTAGGAAATAAACAAACAATCGTTTTACACAATTGTGAAATAGATAACAAAAAATACGACCTTGTAATCACACCTCATACACAAACAGTTGGATACATTCGAACAAAACGACAAACACTAAAAAGAAAAATAATAACGAAACAAAGACAAATAACACGAAAAAGATTTTCAAAAAATCGAAACGCATTTTCAGAATCAGAAACCAACAGTTTAGACGAACTTTACAAACTAAAAGAATCAATAGATAAAGATTGCCCACTTCACGATCAATTATATTTTTCTGACTCAGAAACAACTTCAAATTCATCAAAAAGAGGAAAAAGAAGAATAAAAAAGCAGTATAAACACAAACCAGTACATTTATACAATTGGAATCAACCAATTCGACACATTGATAATTACATATTAACAGTCATCGAACGAAAAAATGAGCTCAACGCACACCCCAGGTGAAGAAACTCCAGATGATGATGAAATCTTTCCTTTTATAGTAGATGCAGATACTGATAGAGGACAACACATATTTTGTCAAAATTTACTCGTAAATTTATTTGAACCCGGAATCAGTCCATGTAAAACAGAGTTCCCCGATGTAAAAATCAAAAGACAAATCATAGATCACTATCTAAAAGATATATGCAACATAACACAACAGTATGGAATCTACTCCATAGAATTCACCTCACCAAACCATAATAATAGAAAATATACAATTCAAACAGACGACCTTGATTTAGAATTTTCAAAAGTTTTTTCAGAATATATAAAAAGCATTCAATATCATAACTCACAAAGAGCAAACTCCATATTCACCAATGAAGTTTTCGCAATAATATATAGTTATATTTCGATATTAGAAAACGAAAACCCAATAACAAATGTCTCACCGACAGAAACATCTAAACATTTGACAGTACGACATGAAATCACACTACTCTCTAGTTATTTAAACATCATTAAAGAAAATTTCACGAAAGACGACGTTTCACAACATACAAAACACGATCTACAAAAAATTTTGGCATGGTTCATAATAGATTATTTCACACACAATATTGATTTAATTGCACAAGCAAGAAAAAATTTTAGACCCCAAAACTCGAACGATGATACCGCTATCACAGAACAATCAGATTATGTTTGGGACCCCGAATGGTCTCATCCCGCATTTATAAGCTTCCCACAATCAATCTCAAGTCAAGCAATAAGTACGATATCTTACATAAGAGATTATGTAAAAGTAATACCATTAACCATTGATGCAACACCATTAAACTATAATACATTTTTGCCCGATACACAAAATAATAGTTTAAACTCTACAGTTATACACAATGAAAACCTCAATGGAACTAGGAATCTTACTCAACAAGATATCCAGACACCATCACACTTCATAAATGAAGAAATTGTACACACAACAACTACACAACAAAGTATTTCACCAATACGCCCAAATTTAACAACACCAAGAAATACAAATCCTTCACAAACACAGGTAACCTTACAATCAACCGTTAAACCTTCGGTTGCTCCTAAATATTCACATATGGATTACCAAACATACAGACCCATGACAATACCATCAAAAACACGCAAAACATTCACTAGAAACAACTTTACAGACCATAATTATAATTATACACATCCATCAAAAACATATAATCAACCACAAAGAAATTTTAACCAATATACAAGATCTCGAAATTGGGATAACCCAATGACCCAACCTAATTCAATAAATTTCCAAACAAATCCTCCACAGGATCACAGTGAAAATTACCCATTTTTTCAACAAAATAAAAATAAAAAACAGACATCTTACCAAATGGATTATTTATCCTCAGATGATGATTTCTTACAACCAGATATATTTGCACCAAATACTCAAGAATATCGTAGACAAGGAATACAGAGAACACGTACAAATCATAGAAATTTTTCTCCACAACCAATAGATGCACAACATCAACAACCAATTCAACAACAAAATCTAATTAATACACAATCTTTTCAACCAATTCAACAACAAAATCCAATGACTGCACACTCGTATCAACCATCACAAATGCAAAATGAAATACCACTCCCATATTATCTCCAACAACATGAAATAACAAGAAACCAACTTTCAAATTTTTCTCAAATGCCAAATGCAGCAGAATCATTACAAATGACAATGAATCCATACCTTATGGGTGGATCATCAATAACATCAAACAAACCTTTAATGGTTTTCACAGGAACAGACCCTGAATACTCTGTAGAAGATTATTTAAATGCAGTAACAGCAAACCTGATTTTAAATATTGGACCTGAACCAATTAATACGCCACTACATCAAAATTGGATACATCGACGCACAGCGTTAATACAAACAACATTAGATGGCGCAGCCCAAAAATGGTTTTCAGTACTACCTCTAGAAATAAAATCAAACTGGAAAAGATTTACACAAGAATTTTCAAAAATGTTTGACTCCGAAAGAAACAAACAACAACAAAGAGTTTTATGTAATGAAATTCGCAGATTACCAAACGAAACCATCAAGCAAATAGCAGTACGAATCGAAACACTAGTTCGAAAAGCATATTCATTAAATACACATGACTATAAAAACACAAAGATGACAGAAATCTTAATGATGACCTTAACACCACAATTAAGGAAAATAGCAATAAAAAAGAGAGCATCCCATCCTTCTTCAATTCGAGAATCCGATTTAGATTTTCGAAAACTAGTAGACAAATTAGAACAAGCAGAAATCACGATGAAACTAGAAGAAACGGAAAATCTGAAATTACAATACGTTAACAGAATTGAAACGACTCCCACTAATATTAATAATATACAGGAATCAGAGACAGACCTCGTTGAAAAAATCACTGAAATACTCAATATTTACGAAAAGAACCCGAACTTTAAAGGCAAACCATCTTTCAAAAAATGGTGTAATTATTGCCGACGATACGGACATAGTATTTCCGAATGTAGACAAAAACAGCAAGATAATCAAAATAAACCTCAAAAA